CTAAGCAGCTAAGTAATTACTAATTAACCAGAAAGTTCTAGCAACTACTTGTAATAATAATAATACAATAATAATATAACTAATACTAAATAATAATAATAATAAAATAATAATAATAACTAATAATAATAAAATAATAATAATTCATTCTATAACAACAGCCTCTACTTCTTGCTTATTTAATGCTTTTTTTTTACCTTCTAATCAATGTTCTTATTCCTACAACCATTTTATTAATTGAAAACATACCTATATAGCTATAAGCTTTATTCTATAAGACAATATTAACCTATTGACTTATTTTAGTCTTTACTTTTATTAATCAGGTTAATGCAGATTACTTTACTATTTTGGGCCTGATAGCAATAATTGTTCTAAAGGCTTAGTAGCTATAGTCACAATCTTATGTAGTATTGATTTGAGACTTCATTGTTCATCTATTTTAGCAGTTCTTTGAGATTAAGAGGGATACAGGTTTGCTACTAACAATCCTTAATTTTGTTCAAAATGTATTGTTTAAACTGAAGTAAAATCACCATTCTAAAAAGTTTTAAGACTAATTAAATCTCAAGATCAGATATAATGTAATATGAATAAAAAACTTCAAAACAAACATTCATTTTGTCAAAAAATGCTTATAATCCAAAATTTTGTCTATAAAACTATCTTTTGCATATTAATTAAAAGTTTTTCTTGTAAAATTTTGCTATATTAAATAACTTTAGATGCCAATTTAATAGCAAAATCCAAATTCTAATCTAAAAAAATGAAATTTTACTTGAAACTTTTTTTGGTAATGTTTCTACCTTTGTTTATTGTTTATATTGCATTAAAAATTGCAAAAAATATTCTGTCTCTGTGACAAACAGATGTCTGATTTAAATTTTCTTGATCATGTTATGTTTTACCTAATCTTGAAATCTGATTCATATATAGTTCAAGAAATCTGCACTATAAACCTAACACTATACATGCCATAGAAAGTATTAACTAAGATAAGATTATTATCCAAAAAAGTTTCAAAAATCATATAATATTGTCAATTCATGATAATAATATATATTAAAAAATATTACATAATTGATTTAGTAAGTAATTTTTTTCTTTGATTTTTTAAAGTAAAAAACAATCATTAAAAGCATAAATTCAATAAACATGTTATTTTAAAAATAAATGTTGATTGTCATAACTAAATTTTTATTAACAATAAAGAAATTAAGAAGTTATGAGTATCAAATACAACATTTATGACTTTTTTAAGTTATATCTTATTAGTAATCAGAAAGATAAATTAGATAATTAGATGACAAAAAAATGTTATCTTAAAAAAAAATTATTGCATTGAAAGAGTTATAGTTTTTTAAAAAAGCATTAAAAATAAAATCTACAAAATTTTCAATATAATTGCATTTTTATTTTTTTTTTATTTATTATTAATAAAAATTTGGTTATAACAATCAATACATGTTTTCAGAATATTATGTTTATTGAATTTTATGCTTTTAAAAAAGTCACTTGGTTTGTCATGATTGCAATGATCATATTTCATTTTAAAGAATCAAAGAAAAAATCACTTGCTAAATCATAATGATGAATTAATACTATTACATAATCTTCAAACTTTTTGGATAACAATTCAATTTTATCCCAGTCAAGTATATATTATTTTACTAATATGTTACTATTATGTTATTAATATTAACAAACCTTCTATTATTTTACTGTTATTCAGTTGTTATATTGCTATTATGTTACTATTATTTAGCAAATATAAAATAGAATACAGTATAACTAAAATTTAATGAAAATTATAAATAATCGATTATGTCTAAACTATAAAAGGTAAGTAAATTTATACCTTCTAGATATAGATAAATTGTCTAGATCTATATTAAATACATTTGTCTAATTGATTAAATCACTATTCATACCCTTTATCATATATATTTTATTATTGGAATTTAGGCTCAAATCAAATATGAAATAAATATACCTTATTTTCTTCTTCTTCTGATTGTTTTTCTTCTAATAAAAAAAAAAATAAAAAATCTGATATAAGATTATATTTATTTGAATATATATATAATAGTACCTTGAACAGAAATATGAGTAGTCCAAATTTTTGTGAGTTGTGAGTGTGTGGTTGAAGATGGGTTTGGTTTTTCAAATATATGATTCTTGATAATTTTTTTTAATTGTAGAGGACTAAATTTATGCAAAGGTCCAAAGCCTGATAAGGATCATGCACAAAGATAGTCTGCATTTTCATCTGTTTTAGACCATGTAAATTCATGCCATGTTGAGATTCCTGAAAGTGTTTCTAATTTTTTTTTGTTTATATATATTATTTAGAACAAACAATTATTGTTAGAGGTTACTAACCAATTTTTCAAAGCTTAGATTATTTTTATTTAGGGTGTTTTCAAGCAGCTCTCTTAATGTGATTTAAATGATTGAGTTTATTACAATTAATTAGTAACAATAAGCTAAAAATTCATTATATGAATTGTGAATTTTGAACTTTAGCTAATCAGGTTTGCTATTTTATTAATTGAGATAATAACTTTCCTGTTTAGTTTATTCAAATTCTCACCAATTAAAATTTTATTTCCGATCCATTGTGTGAGGTACTTGAGAATGCCTTTAGTTCCGTTCAATAATATTTAATCTGATCTATAATAAAATTTAGTTTCTTTGAAATTAAACTGAAAAACTAGATTATTGATGTTCCTATACTTAATTTGATCTAACAACTGGCTTAGCCTACAATTTTGTTATTACAATCTCATTTGAGAGTTTGGTCAAAATTCTGAAAATTTAATTATTACTTATATGATGCAATATTCAAAGCTCACAATAATTAGTAATCATAAATTACTAATTATTAGTAGACTTTGAATATTGCATCATATAAAGTGACAATTAAATTTTCAGAATTTTGACCTAAACTTCTTGCTTAGAATTAAAGTTATATACCTAAATCATGATTGAGTTCAAGATTAGCCACATGTGTTTCAGATAAGTTTTTTATTGCATTTTCTATGTCTTGTTCTGATTCAATATTGTAACCTAACTTGACCTATCTTTTGATCGAATATGTAATCTAGAAAATTATTATATATAAGCTTATATACATTATATCAGATAGGCTATTCAACATTAATTGGTTGTTTAATGTCACCATTTTAAATTTTTAGATGAGGAGGTAATTTAAACAAACATATTAAAATAAACATGATTATTCAGAACTTTTTAAAGAATTTTCATCTAAAATTTTTTTTTTCTCTTATTCTGCCTTATGATTGGCTTGTTTAATTTTAGGAGGACAGTTGACCGAGGGAAGAGAGTGATGTTAAACAACTAATCAATTTTGAATAGCCTAAATATAAATATAATTGAAAAACCTGAGCATGATATGAGTCTATTGTAGATTTTGCTTTTTCTACTTCAAGAAAAATCCATTTTCGCGGGTTAACATTATACCATTCTTTCCAATGACCTATAATTAGCATTAATTCTGTATTTCTATAATGTGGTCTATTATCTAATATGATAGTTATCCATTGTGGTTTTGGATCAATAACTTCTATAACTATATGGAGTGATGAAACTGTAAACCAGACATCTTGGTGAGTATTATTAGACTAATGGTCAAAAGCTTGTATATTTAACATTCCATTCAATATATTTTTTTGATATACTAGAATGGTATATAAAGTCCATTCTCTTTTACCAAAAAATTTCTCTTTTGTTTCACATGCACTTTGGAGATTAATTTGCATTTTAAAATCTACAAAGAGTAATGCTCCAGTATGATCTAATAATTCAAGTTCAGCAGATAATTGTTTATTCAAATACGTCCTATGTGCATAATGAGCCATAAAAGCGACCAATCGATTTTGATAATCTATTAAAGCCTCTTGTTGTTCTTCTTCTAATTTTTCTTGTAATTAATCAAAAAATTCTAGAAAACTTTCACATTCTTTATATATATTGGGATGTAAATTATTACAGCTTCTAAATGTATATGAAAAACAATGACTAATACAGGAATTATGAATTGGAACACCTGACTTGTCTATTAGAAAATTTTTTGCATAATCTTTTCTTAGATATCTTTGTAAGTATTTCATAGTTTTAATTAATTTTTTTTATTTTATTTATCAAATAAGTAATTAATAGATATATAATATAATTATTACAGTAAAATATAAAAAAGATTTATATTCTGTCAACTGTATTTGCTATGTATCTATCAATTAGTGATCTGATATTTTTAAACACTTCATAACTATATTCATTACATGCACTACAAAGTCCACTCATATTTTCTTTATATAGAAATTAGCCACTTTCTAAACATGTCATGAAAGCAGTACAACGCATTCCATTTAGAAATTCTTCATAGAATTTTTCCCATAGTCCTTTTTTTGTATTATGCAAATACAATACAGGAACCGGTTAAAGTTTCAGTTTTGTAACTACTTTGTGAAATATTATCTTTATGCATAAAAAAATTGATCAAATTGTGTTAAACTTTCAGATGAAAATTGAACACAATGAATAACAGGCATGGTAAGTGGTAGTGCATCATATCTATTGGTTATTGCATATTTTCGAAATTCATCTACTATATACTTGCCAACCTTATAATATAAATTTTTATTAAAATTTTAAAATTAAAATATTACTAATTTTAAATTATCTTACATTCAAATTAGTTTTTAATTCAGAGTAAGTAAAATTATTAGTGATAATAGATAATATATGCTATTTGCCATCAGAAGTTTTTTTATTATCTGAAAGAGCATATTGAAAACAGGACCAGAATATTTGTATAATATTAGGTATATTCTTTGGTATCAGCACTAAAAACCCTATTTTATATTAAGTTTGTAATATTTCTTTATCTTTGTTTGCTGAATTAACATATGTCCAAATCTGAAACTAATAAAATTTTATTATAATAAATAATTTTTTGATTTAATTTACTGTTATATTCAATCTTTGATTACTTCTGATTCGTCAGATGGCCATAGAGTAATATTAAATCCACCTACAGCTCGTATTAAGGTTTTCCAAGTGCTAAATTCTCTTTCACTAAACTGGTAATGTGTTAGGTAGATTTTTTGTAAGCTAGTAACTAGCTCTATTGTTTCATTTTCATTTTGAACCCAATTAATAAAGAACTGATACCATAAGATATCAGCAATTATTCTTCGTTTTAAGTGGTAATCAAAAAGTTTCTTCATAATATCATAATTATTCCAATTGACAAAAGTACAGATAGGAACTTTATGTTGATTAATATATAGTTGAGTTGTTGAATTATCTAAACTAAAAAGTTGTGTATCAGTAAAACTTTTTATACCAATTGGATACCAAACTTTATCAGGAGTTCATCCCTCAATACGTTTTATTAGTTGAAATTCTTGGTAAATTTCTAGAAGACAGTTTAAATCATTATCTATAGTTGAAACAAATAATGTGTGTTTTGAATTATGTTTACAAATTAGTGATGATTTAAACCCAGATTCACCTTTACTAAGATTTTGATGTGATGACATGCCAATTCCAAATACAAAAATTTGCATTTTACTATTCAAAGAAAAAAAAAAAGGATAAAATATAATATCAAATAAAAGTTGTGAAATAATTTTTTCATTTGTCCATCCAATTACAAGGGGTCCTGATACTCGGGTTTTGTTTTTGAATATATTAGCATATACTGTTGATATGGCAGTACTTGGATTAGCAACAATTTCTGAAATTATACTACCACAATAACATTGGTAGCCAGGTAAAAAAGGAGCAGAAGGATAGCCAACAGCTACTGTTACAATAAACTTTTGTTCGTTAAGAATAGTAGCAGTTTTTTGGCCAATACGGATTGGGAATAAAGAACCATTTTCTTTTTTTGTATCATTTTCACGCCACCAAAAACGGGAAAAAGATCCATAATGAAAGTTTTCATTAATTAAACCTGTGTCTAAAAGTGTAACAGCTACTTGACGTTTTTTTTTTTTGACATTAAAGTATAAAAGTTTTCAGATTCAAGCGTTCATAGTAAAATAATTATAAATCTTATCCCGTTTAATTAATATAAAATTTTATAAAATTATTGCCGATCTTAGCCGGATCAGCAATTAAGGCCTTTAATATTTATCGCTATCGTTTGTGTTACTATAATATGCATTACCATGTATACAAATAATGATTATTTCAAAAGAGATTACGGAGGTAAATCGAGTTATTCTTATTAACATTAACAGATTGGGTAAAATATATTTTATTTAAGTCTCAGATAAAATTTCCGTACCATCAACAACTAGCATTATAATCAGTATTGGCACACCGGAGCACTACGCAATGAACAATGGAATTTATATAAATAGATTTATTAATTGTATTGTATTTACTAGCATCGATTGAAATTCATATGACTCCAATAACATGGAATGTTAATGATAAATCCGCTCTTTTAAATGTGGATTCAAACGGACTTGGAATAAATTATACAGGTGAGAACATACAAGAATTTTTAATATAAAATAAAATATATATATTAGGCCTAAATGATTTACTGTCTTGATAATTTTTTTCTTAATTATAAAGGTTATGGCGAAATTAATGATGCTGTAATTCGTACGAATAAACCAATTCCATTACAATGCAAATTGTTTTATTTTGAAGTCGATATTATAAGTAATGAAAATGAATATGAAGGGTATGAAGCATAACATCTGGCGATATTAAATAAAATTCGTTTCCTTCTAACTTCTTAAATCCTTCCTTGAAGAATTATTGCAATTGGATTTTGTACAAAATCAACCGAATTAAATAAGTTACCTGGTGATTACAGAATTTAATTTTTTATTAGCCATAATAATATATATATATCTATTTATTCAATACTCTTATCATCTATTAAATATATATATAGGATGTGGCAAGAACTCGTGGGGATATCATAGCGATGACGGAAATTTTTTCGATTGTGTAGAGATCGAAGAACCATATGGGCCTAAGTTTAAAACTGGCGATACTATTGGATGCTATTTAAACTTTAGAAATAACACTGTATTATATACTAAAAATGGCGTGAATCTAGGTAATTATTATGATTTAATGCCTAAATTTATTTGAGTGGTAAAAAAAGTTAACGGTTTACTCCATTCTTTAAGGAATTGCCTTTCGAGACTTAGATTTAAGGAATAATCTTTATCCTTGCATTGGAATAAGGTCGTCAAAAGGCAGAATATCTATAAAGGCGAACTTTGGACATAAAACATTTAAATATACAGGTATAATATATTTTATCAAAGTGTTGAATATTGTCTAATTTTTTTTGAAGTTTATTTTAATATTACCCTAATAAATAGCAATAACTGATAATGATATTGATTACGATCAATTGAAAGAAAAATGGAGTAAAGCTTTTGAACAATGCGATAATGAAGATAAAGACATGATTGAAGATTTTATAAAATCACTAGAAATTATCCAAAATAATACGTTTGCATTAAGATATCGTGCAAAGGCTTATTTTATTATGGGAAAATATGATGAAGCGCGTACACTTTTAACTGAATTGTTAGAAAATGAGCCAGACAATACATTCGCGTTAAGATATCGCAGTGAAATTTATCTTATATTGAGTAAATATGAGGAATCAAATGCGGACTTAAAAAAATTATTAGAAATAAACAAAGATAATAAATGGGCATCACAAGCTAGTAATGAAGTTAATAGGCGGTAGTTATTGTCATAGAACTTATATATAAAAATAATACATAAATTATTGACAACAAAATATAATTCACTAATAATTAATTAATCTTTCTCTATTCTTCTATCTGTTA